AGGATGATGTTACTCGTTCACCTAGCTCTGAAGTGATAACCGGTAGCGATTTATTGTTGCGAACCAACAATAAAATAATTATAATATAATAATAATAATAATTATAATATAATAATTTTAATGTAGGCCAATAATTAAAACCTAAGTTTGGGAAATTTTCTTCATCATGCCATCTACTCTATAAGCGGAAAATTACCGCTCATGGACAAGAGAGAAACTGAAAGGAACTTTGGGAAAGCAAATCAGTGAGTCCTTCGGCATCATTGGTGACGAGTGTAGAACTTCCGGTGCTGTTCCTTTATACTGTTCAAAGCTTTAGGTTAAGGTGATGATTATTCTTATTATAGCACGTCATTTTTCTTGGTCAGCCTCACTTAGTCATATTTGCATGAGTCAAGAAAAAATTTTGCTTTCAAATTGAAAAGGTGCCTCATTGCGCCAAACTTAAATCCAAGAACATCGAACAGGTTCCTACTTTCATCATTCCATCCGAAGTTAAGAATTGCGCACCAAAATGCTGGGTCACCACGGTTCGCTTTGTCGTTATCGAGCCGTTTTGTCTGACGATGATTTCTGGCCCCAGAGTGGCGATTATCTGACCGACGGTCAACCGGTCCTTGTTCAGCTGTTTTAGCTGCATGGCCAAGTTCTCTACTTCGTCTTCCGCGAAGATGTCGGCGGCGCTCAGTTTGTACATTAGATCGGGATAGAGGCTAGCCTTCACCATCGGCTTCAGTCCAAACGCGTTGTACACCAGTGCCAGATGTTCACGTTTCAGTGTCCAGTTTTCGTACAGTGCCTTCACCAGGAGACATATGGCACAAATTTTATCGCTCTCGTTAACAATCTGAAAATACGGTTGCTACAGTAACCTTTCAATATGACCATGTTATAGAAAGATCTGCAATGGACAACGGGCAATCGTTCCTGGGCTTATTTCTGCTCAGCATTGCCAGCATATACGCTTCCATGTCGCAGTAGTTTGTAGTTTATGCGCAGTGCTCATAATCAGGGTCCGTATCTAGCATCTGCGCATTAGTACCGGTAGCACTAAGGCCATTTCCCACGCTGACCAAAAATCTCTGTTCCTTGAACACACCATGACATTTTTACCTTTCTACAAATTCCCCAGAGTTGGTTGCCCCTTGCACAGAGCAACGATTCCAGACAGATACAGCTTGGCAAATGTTCAGGCCTAAACCCATCGACCCCGATATTCGATAAGGTAACCTTCAGCATGATCTGAATCTCATTCAGCACTACCAGCCTAGGAAGACATGATTCCAAGTCACTGTGACAACGCAGAGTCTCGTCGCAGCAAACTTCCGCTGAGGAACGGTGCGACTTGTATTTTAGCGCATTTCAATGTGATTGATTTGCATAGAAATCTTAGCGATGCCAAACGAGTGAAAATTTCGAATTTCTCCTCTAAAGTCATCTGTGCACTTCAACAGCGTTTCGCTTACGACAGTTTTGGCGCTGAACGTCTGAATGATACCGCGCAGCTCGGCGATCTCCATTTGGCAAAGCGATGCCGGAAGGCGGGCGATGCAGCCCGATATGAGTGCGTCCTTGACGCTTGGATGGAGGAACAGGCGATTCACATTGCGGACGATCGCCACGACCGATTTGTCGCTCTGCTCCACGGCGTTCGGCATGTCGTCTAACACGTCGTAGAGCTCGGCCATCAGTTTCGCCGTCCCATAATCCACGATCGGGCTGTTCATCGAAATAAGCCTTGGAACTGCCTAAAAAAGCCCCGTAGTTAAGGAGAAGCTAGAAATGCACACCACTGACCAGAGCAAAAAAAAACAAAACAAAATCACCAAACCCTGTTCTAAAATAGTGTCATGCTTACTGTAGTTTGTCACAAACTTCGCAGTTCCACGTGATATAGCATAGACCGCATAAGAAGCATTTGACACACTTCCATTTACTCCACTCGGGGATCAGTAGAATAAATCGACTATTAAGGCTTAATTTTTGAAAAAAATAGGATAC